AGGAAGACGGGAGGTAATAAGGTGCTATTATTATTAATAGAAGTCACAGTACAATAATCGTTACAAAACGAAAAAATCTTCCATGTATTCCGTGTGGATGGATTACTGCCATGTTGCCAAGGCCGAATTTTCTTTGGCAATTCACAATCGGAGCCTTCTACTATATATTCATATTCATATTATTCACATAAATTCGTCTGCCTTAGTTTGGGCATATATATTAGCGAAGTACGTCATCCGAAGTTCAGGAAATGGATTACACAGTTTATGTGTGTATGATACGGGAAATTGCACTTTAGTTCTAAAGCTGATATTTGTTTATCCTGGCGGAATCTACCTCCTGTTTTTCATTTGTCATCCATCAATGTATTGACAGAGCTGAACATCTCGGACGTCGTACTTCTCTGCTTCAATCTTTGTTCCCCCCCCTCCTGAACTGCCAAGTTGTGCAACACCCTTTCACTTTCTATCTTTCTCCTAACTTACAACCTTATACTCGTTAAACGCTGAATCAATAAACTGCATCTTACACGAACATACCCCTACTCTCCATTTTACAGTGTGCCATTTGCCGATGGGGATTTTCCCGTTTATTGTAACTTACATTTTGTGTAATCAAAACGACTGAACGAGGGGCGTTAGTGGGCTCTTCGTTTTTCTAATCATAAGTCTTTTAACTCGCCCGAAGGATGAAAGCTCAGTTACCGTCTCTCTCCCTCTTTTTATGCGCTAATAACGCTAATCTTCTGAGACACGAACAACTCCGTCGTGTTTTTACTATAACCCATTTAGGCGGACAGCCCTGTAGTTCTGTTTTAGGAGGCCGCCATGAGACCACTAGGTCAAACAGAAAGTCACAAAATTTATTCGCTTGAAACCTCAGTCAGTTTCACGAATTTCTGTACTCTTGTGTGTCCTTCCATGTACCTGTGAAATGTGCCTCTTGGATTCGATTTTTCGCCACCATGTTGCCTATGCGCTCACCTATCAATCGGCAAGTTACACGCTCCTAAGCATTTTTTTAATATGCATATTTTTAAATGACATGCATCGTTCGCTGTTATGGGCTGGTCAGTAGCAGTTCTCGTCGTTGTATTTCTTTGTGCTCTGATAGTGACGAGCATCGTTCTTCACGTCACAGCTAGGTGTAAATGCTGCTCGCACAAATACAGTACTCTGAGTATCTTGTTCTCGGGTGTAAAGAATCTGAGTGAAGCAAAACAAAGGTGTCCGATATACTTTGGTAGTGGCTAATGAATTTTCGCACATTTTTTTCTGACGGGATCATTTGTGCATTGTACCAGTTTACATCTAAGGATGACTTTGGCACTGAGTTCAGGGAACAGTTATTTGGTTGTCGAAAACTGTTTGTTCAGTTTTCTGTTTTTAATCCCGTTCGTTGTTAGACCCCCAACATCCTCGATTGTTGTTGCCTAGCAATAACTTTACTTCATATCTTTTCCGTTATTTCTAGACGATCGAATATATCGAATCCAAAAGGCACGAAAATCTCCCTGCTTGTATGCTCATCGGGAGACGCATTCTGCGACACCAATATTTGGTTCCATTTTACAAAACAGTAAGGCACTATTAAAGATTACTCTAAGGTCTTATTCCAAAGAGTGAGTGGTTTTTTGTTCGTTATTTAACTCCCTACAGGCGGCTTCCATCACGTACCCCATTGGGATCCATTGACTCATCTCTTACTGTATGTGACACGTTTTCATTTCCCTTTATGATTTGCGTTTTAGCCATTGGAAGGATTTTCAGAAAATAGATTTCGTCCAGTCTACTTCTGCTCAGAACTTAATACTTCGATCTCTGTTTTCATTTACATTTCTGTATTTGACGGTTACTCATCGCTCGTTTCAAACAGCTTTCATTGTTTCACTAACACTTTGATAATTCTTGCAACTATGGCACAAATAGTGTCCGAGACTGGCTTGGAGCTGTGCCATCAGGTGAGTTTCCATTGTATTACGCAATATTTTCCCAAGAGCGGAGATCATGACGTAAATGGTGCTCTTTCCAACCAGCTGGTAAAATCACTCTCGTTGAAGGACCATATGGATTGTGGCGATTTGGAATGTTTACGGACCAACCGTGGATTATCAAATTCCTCTATACACAGTCCTCCCGCTAACGGGACTATGGACCATAGTGCAATCGACTCTTCTGTATCTTCTGCATCCTCACACTCCCCTTCACCAGTTCGCTCTATCGTTGCATCACCGTATGCTTCCGCAACTGTCAGGCGATTGTTTCGTCGTAATGAAACCCCTTCGGTATCTGATGCGATTCGTACACCATTTGACTCGGATTTGCTCAGTGAATCTACCGCTGTGATGACCCAACTCAATCAAAGACCCCCACAGCACGAAGAAAACTATCCGGAACACCTTAATCCTTTCTCAGATGAAGATCCACCGACGGCTCGTTTACCTGTATTGCGTTCGACTGATTCAATCGTCACGCCTTTTGATGATTTGGTAAATGAAGGTGATGATGCTACTCGAATCGATTCCCCACTTATGTTCAGTCGAGCTTCGCTTTCTGCCAGCAAACTGAGGGATAGCCCTTCCTTGAGCAGTACAATCCCCAACAGGCGGCAAGCTCCTCCTCGTCCTCCTAAACCCAATGAGTCTTTATTGTTGCGACGAAATTCCCACAACCGACTGAACTCAATCGAGCCCGGAACACCTCGACCGCTTGACAGGTCACAGTCTCTTCGAGGATCGCGACGTTCTTTTTCTACCGGCCCTCGTCTAGATTGTAATACTCACCGAATGGTACATGGAGATACAAAATCAGTCATTCTCAAAAGACAAGCACCACCCCTACCCGTTCCCGGTAAACGGGTTATCAAAGCGGATCCTGAAGACGAGTTTATTAGCTATGGAGATCTTCATCGAAAACTTCATGAAATTCATCAAAAGTTGACGGAAACTGAACGATCTTCCCGTATGGTACATATGCGCTTGAAGCAAGGTGAGCGTCAAGACAGAAAAACAAATCCAGTCCATTTTTACTTGAAGTTGTTGGTAAACTACTCATTCTTTTGAATGCATTTTTGCTGTACTGATTATATGCTATATTCTAGTAAATGCTGGTTCCTATACGGTTTCAGATTTCATATCTTTGTTTCCAATTTAGCTGTTCATATGGAAATTGAAAACGAGTTTTCATCGACCTCTTCGATTGGCGCATTATAAATAACGGTGATTCTATACTTATGTTCTATTAGCTTCACAGATTCTTGATATTTCGTAATGAAGTTAGATGTAGGACAAAAATCGACGCGGTTGCTCGTTTACCCTGATAGACTAATGAGGCCGTAGGGAACTCATTTTACTTTTTGATTACAGGTTTGCTCAAGACTGCCGTTCTCATACTATTTTATGGACTACGTAATCCAGATAATCCGAAGCAGCGTTTGGCTCCTGAATATGACTTTTGCTTCGCTACAATGCGGTTGTCAGGGTTCTGAACCTAAGTTCATTTTTCCGGCCGTTGATTTGTCTCATCTTCAAATTTGCAGATGCTTTGCATCAATTTTCGTGATATCTATGCCCCGAGACCGAAAGGGTTTATAAGCAGACGTTTTGAATCCGTACATCCAACTTGCCTCTAGTGTCCTGTTACCTGCCACGAGCATTCTCAATTTCGTCTCTATCAAGAGACTACCAGTACTCGTTGGTGTACTGGATAATGTGTTTTGATCGTGAATCGGGGCTAGACAACAATCATAACTGTTGAGGTACTTGCTTCGTACTCTTCAACCCAAAGTCATATTTAATGTTCTCTCTCAACGTGTCAGGTTGCGCGGGTCACCCAGTAGCGTCCTTGACCCATTATTGCAGCGTGTCACATGGCGTTTTTTGTTACCACCTGCTGAATACATTGTGTTCTTCCACCGGGGTTGTGTTTGTGTCCATCTCTTGTGTGCGTGTGCGTGTCACTTAACATCAATTGATCTATTGATTATCACTAAAACAAATTCGAACAATCAAGCTGTATTTTATCCGGTCGGAAAGAACGTTTTCTGTGCCGATGAGGCGCATGTGATCGGCGGCGATGACAACGGAGATCAGCAAACCTATTTGACAATGAGCAATTATTTCCATGCACGGTTTCACCACAATAATAGTGTAAGCTGATCACCTTGGATTCTTTCCTGACCTCTTACCGGTAGCATACTGGTCTATCCAAACGATCCCAAGTAATTTTTTCATCACTCAAAATCACCCTGCTTCTTTTCGTGTAATTTGGTCCTCTTTTCACTAAGTTCTGAGCTATGTATGATCCGGAGTTGACCACGGCACTTTTCTCATTTGGTGTG